ACACACACACACACACACACAAAATACTTTCATTTGCCATTATGTTGCATTGTTCAGAGCTGCAAGACAGCAGTACAGATATACAGAAATGTTCCAGGGGTATCACATTATGTTGTGCAATATAGCTCATTTCACAATCCATGTAGCTGTCCAGAATTTCTATCCATCAGTCCTCCCCTCTTCTCTTTGCTTCTGTTTGATTTTTAAGAAAACAGTGATTCTGATGGATTTGCACTTGTGCTAGGGTTTGGGAAAGGTCCATGCAGGAATGGGCATAGTCACATGATTAGTGAGATGGCAACATTCCCCCCTCCCAATAAACTCAAACAAAACAAAAATTGAAGAAAAGAACAGAACAGGACTAGAAAACTCATTTTTTTGACATATCTAAAAAAAGGGGACAAGAACAGTAGTCCTTTGTTCTTCTCATGGGGACAGGAATGAAGAAGGAGGGAAGAGGGACTTGATTTCTTCTGTTCACAAGAGAATGGTTGGAGGGAATTCTTCAGAGTTTTTCAGGGGATGGGACCCAAATGCAGTGCCCAGACTGGTCCTCAATGATTTGTTTGATTTTGTTATAAATCTCTTCCAGCGAGTCACCCTGTACAATGGCTAAAGTAAAGAGGAAAACAAAGTTATTACTGTGGTCCACAACATATCTCCAAAACATGGCAATTCTGCTTTTCTCAACAATTCTATAATTCATCACAAAGAAATGATGAATACACTCACAGAACTGTGGTTTTGATTAGCTAGTCTCTTAGTTTAGAGCAGTAAGGAAAACTGGCTAGAGCTCCAAGCCTAGAGCTTGAAGACAATTTGCTGAGAGACAGTAAAACTGACTAGCCATAAATAGAAAACATGTTTACTGAGCACCCATTATACGCCAGACCTTGTATTTCATGTTCCTCTTGGCTACTACAAAGTTGGCAGCAGATACCAACAGTAAAATAAACTCCAAAGACTCAAAATACGAGAGTATATTTATAAATTCTTGCCCTGCTTAAACTAGCAGCACTATGAATTAGAATTTATTCAGTACCAATCTGTACATATGTGTCACTATAAAAGGCAAAGAATATATTACACAGATGTCTCCCTAAGCTTTTAGGAACTGAACCCCAAAAGTAGGTAACAATATAACTACATACATGCATACATGCATGGTTATAGACAACCTGAGCACCACACAAAAGAATCATCATCAAACAACAAATTCAGCACCTAAAACATGCGAGGTAAAGTACTGGATTAGGGTGGGGAAACTGAGGAAAAGGAAAAATAAGGCAATATAAAGAGACTATATTCTAGTTAGTTTGGAGGCTCATGTGTGAAGCAGTTGGATTCTGGTGGCCTCTTGTTTTAGTTGAAAGTCAGGTGTAAACTGATTGGTTTTCACACACACAATTGTGTGTGGGCTGATTGGATTTACTGGTCTTAGCTAACAATCAGCTGTGGGCTGGAAGCCTCTTGTTTAAGTCAATCATGACCAGGTGTGCTGGCCTTTGTATTTAAAAGCTGGTTGGGCCCTCAGGTCTGATGTTAGTTGTGTTTGGGAAGAACATTCTCCTAAGTGGTACAGCACTGGTCTGCCAGTTTGCTGTACTGAGGTAACTTGGGTGTGCTACGATATTGAATGCTGTGCCACTGGTGTGTCAAATGCCATAAGGTTTACCCATGGTAGACAGTGTTTGGAGGAGCTCCCAGATTAAGACAGGCTTGGAAGCAGGATTGGCATCACTTCTTAAGCAACATGCCTTTGGAAACTCTATGAACATTAGAGAAATGATAATAGTTATAGAAGAGGGTTCAGATTCTTTGCTCACAGGTTCACTATGAGTCATGCTCGACTTGATGGCACTAAATAACAACAATATAATTTAGTTAGGGACAAGGAGACAAAAACTAATAAAGCAATACAACTTTTGCTGCTGGTAGTGGTGTCTATTACAAACTGTCTGAAGTGTTAAGGCTGAATAGAGAGAACTTGAGTCATCTGGCAAGGCTTGTATTCAAGAATATCCAGAAATACTTTGCAAGGTGTCTAAACCTCTTTTGAGATAGTTAAAGAAATAGATACAAAGTTGTTGCCATGTTACTGGGCAGTAGGAATTCTCACCTGTAAAGTATTCTCCAAACTCTTGCTCCAGTTTCATTGCTTTGTCATAGATCTTATTTGCTTGTTCATATGTCTGCCGTCGGTTCATTTCCCTTTCAAAGATAGACACAGAAAAGAAGTGGTATTAAACTAGATTCTTTATTATAAGACAAAAGATTGTTCAAAGCTCCCTGAAAATTTTCTTAGTTTCTCTCTCACAGAGCAGCAGTGGCTCATTTGCGTATCCTTCTTAAAGCCTTCCAGCACCAGAAGTCCAACTAGGAATAAATGGACAGGTACTCAAAACAGAAGAAATATGCAGTGATCAAAACTGAGTTGCATAAATGTTGGAGAGGATGCAGAGAGATAGGAACTCTCATACAATGTTGACGGGATTGTAAAATGGTACAATCACTCTGAAAGGTAGTTTGGCATTTCCTCAAAAAGCTGAACGTGAAATTCTGTATGACTCAGCTATTTCATTGCTAGGAATATACCCTGAGGAAACTAGAACTGAGACACAAATGGAGATCTGTACACCAAGGCTCAGAGCAGCATTATTCACCATCACAAGACCATGGAAACAGCCCAAATGTCTGAACACAATCAAATGTACTGAGAAATTGTAGTACATTCACATGAGGGAATATTATGCAACATTCAGGAGCAATTGTTTAGAAAATTACCACATAACGTGGGAGGGACTGGAGAACATTATGCTGAGTGAACTAACTCAGGGTCATAAGGACAAATATTGCATAGGAACATTATTTTAGAAGTAGAGAAATAACTAGTAAAATGTATATGAGGATCCAAGTGGGGGATTGGGGGAGCACAGGGGTAAAGATGGGCAAGGGAGAAATCATAGGGTTGCACAAATTGGTGGGTGGAGAGAAGAGGGGGTAAAGGAAATAGAAAAGGTCCAGCAAGGATCTGGAAAGATAGGGTAATGGTAGGCATAATGGTGATTAATTTTATAAAACATAATGAATGGGAATGACTGTATGAAACACAAGGTGAATGAAGGATTGTGTGAAACACAATGTATACAAACTTTGTAAGCAAATCAATAGAAAATAATTTTTTAAATAAAACAGATAAGTTACCAGACAGACACATTATATGTATACATATGTGCTTGTATGCATGCAGTTAGATAAAAAAATATTGAGTTGCACACTTTCCTCCAAATTTTTCTTGGGTCCCACTCCTATCTACAATTCAGTTTATTCTCTATTTTGTTTCTAGATCCCCATCCTAGTTGATAATTTGTCTCAGCAAATACTTACATAAGTGCTTCAATGGATTTGGGCTTGACGAAAATGGCAATGGGGTAAAGGTGTGCTTGCTGCAGCCTCTTGATAGCATTGCCCGAAACATCTAAGATGCAGTGCTTGCCCTGAAAAAGCAAAGACTGTATCAGCCCCACCGAATCCTTGATCACTCAACTCCAAGCAGATATCCACTGGCATTCCAAACATCCATTGTAAGGGAGCCCAGGGCCACCTAGTGCACCAGATGTTCTTAACCTTGAGATAGCCAGAGAACTGAATAGCCTGTGGACTGTCAAAAGAACAAACATATGTCTTGGAGAAGGTGCAAGCCAGAGTGCTCCTTAGAGGCAAGGATGATAAAGCTTTATCTCACATACTTGGGCATGTTGCTAGGAGAGGTTATTTCTTGGAGAGGGACATCATGCTCTGAAAGGTAGATGGACAGTTGAGAGGAAGACCCTCAACCAAGTTGATTAACACAGTGACTACAGCAATGTGCTGGACTGTGCCAGAGATTGGGAGGATGGCACAGGATAGGACTGAGTTTAGAGTTCATAGGGTGGCTATGTGTACTTGACTCAATGGCTCCTAACAAAAACAGCCAGAAAGTAGCCTAGTCCATAGGGAGTTTCACAGTTAACTCAAAGGCCCTGCCTGAAGCCTAAAAGTTAATGAAAATCTCTGGTGATTTGAATCCACCAAGAGATACACAGGAGAAAGATGGGCAATCTCCCTTGTAATTTACAGTCTCAGAAAGCCACTGAAGGGTCAGCTATGAATTAGTTCTGACTCCATGGCAATTGAGTTTGAGAGTATTGCTTCTGAGCAAGATGAGCCACATTTGCAGGAACTCGCCCCAGAATTTTGCATACTTATTCCCTAGTACGCAAAATTCTGGGGCAAGTTGAATGAAAAAGGCAGACACTTTCATTAAAGGACTAGGAATACTCAGAATTGGCATGGCTTTGTCAGAAGTACCATTTAGTAGGTCCTGTTTAGAAGATGAGGATTCAAGTGGGATTTCAATGTGAACATTTATATCTTCCCTATGAGGTTTATTTAAGCCAGACTCTCTACTTACTCTCTCTGCAACAGCCCGAACTGACTGAATGCTGGTCCCATAGAGATTATCATTGAATTGGCCTGCCTCAATGAACTTGTTATCCTGAATATCCTTCTCCATTTGTTCTCGGGATACCACAAAGTGATAGTCTTGTCCATCTACCTCATTATCACGCCGAGGTCGGGTAGTATCTGGGGGAAGAAAGAAATGCTAGACAGCCCAAGGACAAGATCTGCTCCATGTAAAATAGCTGATTGATTCCTATCTTCTTTTCAGTCACATGGTCACTCTAACATTCTAGATAAGTAGAGTGAGAAAGAAGTTCATCTTCCCTACTTCTTTTCCAGGTTTCCCATACAAGATAACTCTTTGCTTCACCTTAAACCGGACCAAGAAGGTGAGGTTTTTGAGCCAAAGACTAAGAAAACATACCAAATTTGGTATGTTAAGCAAGTGAACTTAAAAACGTTTTTACCCAGTCACATCTGGATGACTTTGGCCAAGGGTTCACAATTTTCCAATCATACCCAACTATCAATGTACTGTTCCAGTCATTTCTGGGTAATCTTCAGCAGAATTTTGCTAGTGTGTGATTTTCTATAATTTCCACACTCTGTTGGATCAACTTTTTTGGAATGGGAATAAAAATGGATCTCTTCCAGTCAGTGGTTCAAGTAGTTGTCCTCCAGATTTCTTGGCACAACTTGGTGAGCACATACAGGACAGCATCTGTTTGTTGAAATACATCAGTTGGTATTCCATCAGTTCCCAGAGATTTTTTTTTTGCCAAGTTCTTCAGAGCAGCCTGAACTTCCTCCTTCATCACCATTGCCTCTTTTTTTTTTAAAAAAAATCTTTTATTCGTGTGTGTGTGTGTGTGTACCATCAAATCAGATCTGACTGGTATAGGAGGAGACTGTCTCTCCTTTTCCAGCAGAGCATCTGGTGTATTCAAACCACACACCTCTGGGATTGCAGTGCAGCTTCTTGCCACTAGGCCACCAGAGCTCCCGACCATTGCCTCTTGATCCTATATTGTTTCTCGAAATTCTTCTGCGTCAGCTAATTCTTTTTGGTACAGTGACTCTGTATACTCTTCTTTTAATGTTTCCTGAATCATTCAATAATCTGCCCATAGTATTCTAAAGCATTGCAACTCATGGCTTGAATTTGTTCATCAGTTCTTTCAGCTTAAGAAATGCTGAGCAAGTTCAGCCCTTTTGATTTTCTGACTCCAGGTCCTTGCACATTTCATTATAATAGTTTGCTTTGTCTTCAGATGCTGTCCTTTGAAGTCTATTCAGCTCCTTATCTTCCTGATTTCATCTCTGCTTTGGCTGAGATCCATTTTGGTCTTTTCTTCTTCTTCCTTCTTTGTAATTACTTTTTGCATTCTTCATGAATGATATTTCTTGATATCTTCCCATAGCTTATCTGGTTTTCTTTCATTAGTGTTCAAGGCCTTGAACTAATTCCTGAGTTGGTTTTTAAATTCAGGGGTGATAGACTCAAGATCAAATTTTTATTCCTGTGGATAAGATTTAACCTTCTTTAGCTTTAATTTGAACTTGCATATGAGTAGTTGATGGTCTATCAGAAAAACAAGCTGGGTTTAGAAGAGGCTCTGGCACTAGAGACATTATATATCAGATGGATCTTGGCAGATAGCAAAGAGTACCAGAGGAATATCTATCTATGTTTCATTGACTATGCAAAGGCATTTGACTGTGTGGATAACAACAAATTGTGGCTAACCTTGAAGAAAATGGCAATCCCAGAACACTTGATTGTGCTTATGCAAAACCTATACTTGGACCATGAAGCAGTCCTCAGAACAGAGTAGGGAAACATTGCATGTTTCAAAATATATGCAGGACAGATCATTTGGGAAGCAGGGCTTTAAGAGGAGGAATATGGTATCAGGATTGGAAGAAGACTCATCAACAACCTTTGTTATGCAGATGACACAACCTTGCCTACTCAAACTGAAGAAGACTTGAAACGCTTGCTGCAGAAGGTCAAGAACTGTAGTCTTCAATATAGATTGAAGCTCACCATCAAGAAGACAAAGATTCTCATCACTGGTCCAATTGGCAGCACCATGATAGATGGAGAAGACACTGAGGTTGTTAACAGTTACAGCTTGCTCAGTTCCACAATCAACACTCTTGGTGCCAGCAACCAGGCAATCAAAAGACATATTGCATTGGGAGAATCTGCTGTCAGGAACCTCTCCAGAGTACTGAAAAGCAATGATGTCAGTCTTGAGACTAAGGTGTGCCTAATCCAGGCCATGGTCTTCACAATTACTTGTTATGCTTCAGAGAGTTAGACAATGACAAAGGATGACAGAAGAATTGATGCCTTCGAATTGTGGTGCTGGAGAAGAGTTTTGAACATACCATGGACTGCTATGAAAGCAAATAGATCTGTCTTGGAGAGGGTGAAATCAAATTTCTCCTTGAAGGCTAGGATTTTGAAGCTCTGTCCTACATACTTTGGGCACATGGCCACAAGAGACTAGTCTTTGGAGAAGGACATCTTGCTTGGAAGGGTAGAGGGACAGCACAGGAGAGGAAGCCCCTGGATGAGATGGATTTGATACAGTGACTGCGTCATTGGAGGTTGGTGTGTTGGAGTTAGCGAGACTGACTCAGGATAAGGCAGGGTTCAGCGCTGTTGTACATAGGGTCACTATGGGTCGCAAGCTACTCGACAGCACATAACAACCATCACCACCAAACTATCACCACTCATTCTTCTCTCTAAGAGAATACGTAACCAAACCTAATATCTTAGTCCTAACTAAATTAGCTTTTTAGAAATCTTTATTGCCTTTTCCCAGAATAAAACAGGAGTGGCATCTACTTTCTAAACAATATGCCTCTGGAAACTCTATGAACTTTGATAAATGATGATAGTTATAGAAAGGCTTGAGGTCTTTTGTTCATAGGGTTGCTATAAGTTGTGCTTGACTCGACAGCAATCAACAACAACATTGCCTTTTTCCAAGGCATTAGATATACCCCTGTTACATTACTGACCTAAAATCTGATCTTGGAAATTTTCCATAAAACATCAAAGCAACAATTTCCCAAGGCATCAATGTCCCATTCCCAAAGCCTTCTTGGACTCTTACGTGGCACACAGGATCCAAATTTATGTGGGAATTCAGAGATCAGGTCATCATTAAGTCGGTCCTTCATTGGGCCCAAGATGATCACAGGCCTGGCATAGTGAACTGGAGAGGAAGAGTGTTGAAATAATGAACAGAGCTTTTTCACTAGACAGCCTGCTCTATTTCAGAGTCAGCCTGGAGTCACAACTCGGATAGGGTGAAGCATCCATGGTCTTTTTCTGACTTTTAACTGGAATTTAAGGCTTACCAATACCTTAAAGAGATCTTACAATCAGATTTTAATTAGAGGCAAGTCTGAAATTCCTCTAGTTAATTATTCTGTCACCCAAAAAAGATGTTGAAGTTGTAAACCCTGTATCTCTGAGTATAAGCTTATTTGGAAATATAGAGGTTTTTGTTATGTTAATGAATACATATCGAGTAGGGTGGAATATAAACTTAATAATTTCCGAGTAGTATTTTAAACAGAGGAATAGAAGCAGAGACACACACAGAGGAGGAGACCATGTTGAGGGACTTCTACAAACCTAAGACTGTCAAGGAAGAAAGGAGCCCTGGTTGCATACTGCATTATAAGTTGGGCCACCAGCTGAAAAGTCAGTTATTTTAATCCAATAGTTGTTCCACAAGAGAAAGATGAGCAGTCTCCTCCTGTAAAGATTTATAGCCTTAGAAACCCAGGAGAAGGTCGCCATGCATCAGAATTGACTCCACAGCAGTAGTTATGTAAATATTATATATATATATGTATATATATATATACACACACACACATATATATCATACATATACATTTATATACTGATAAGAAGGGATCTTTTCTTAGGGCCAATACATTTCTGTTCTTTAAAGCCACAAATTTGTGGTATTTTTGTTAAGTCAGCATTAGGAAACCAAGACACTCACCAAAATATTCAGGGTAAATTTTTTTATTGAAATCAATAGCTGAACTGAAAAAGAACTACAACTGAAAGAAAGAATCAGGATCTGTCTTTGAGCAGCAGTTATACCCATAGAAGTAGACTTTTATCCTCCTAATAAATCTGTACTTTCCTTTTCAAAATACTCCTGGAACAAACAAAAAGTATAATGAGAGGTACACACTGAAGAGCCTTCCCTAAAATACTAAGAAGAAGCAGGAAGAACCCAGCCCTAGATATGCATATCTACTCTTCTAGGGTCTTTTCTCTGCTTCTACAGTCAACCACTGTGTTGAGCCTCACTGACTAGGAAACTAACATAAAGGCAAGACTCTCAGAAAAGGGCTTACTTTCTTGCCGAGTCACTGGCTCATATGACAAAATAGCATCCTCTTGTCCTTCTACAACAAAAAAGGGAGAAAGTTAGTATTTTATGATCTGCTTCTCTGCATCCTCATCTCCCTACAACATTTACCCAACACCTACCTCTGCCAGAAAACAACCTTATCAAGTGCCACTGACAACTACTCCATTGTCCTTGATGCTTTCCATTTGGTGAGAAAGCACTGCCTCTGGAGGCAAAATACACTTTTTCAGTTGAGTAAAGGGACATAACCCAGGGACCAAAAACCCTCCACTAAAAAACTCTCCAGTTTCTTAGCAACAGTTCTTTGTGTGTGTTATTTCATTATATAGTTTTAAAACAGTAAATTTATTAACAAAATAGTTTAATATTTGTCAGTAGCATGGTAAATAAGATCACTCCTGTTAATTATATAAAATATTTCTTACAAATGTCAAAGATACATCATAAAGATAACTATAACAGATCTACTTTTTTTAAACAGATCTACTTTTGAAATTAATATGTAGTCATACTAATTCTTATCCAAGTGCAATTCTTCAGCTCACACCAGGAGACTAAGGTGCGCCTGATACAGGCCATGGTTTTTGCAATCACTTGTTATGCATCAGAGAGTTGGACAATGACTAGGGAGGATAGAAGGAGAATTGACGCCTTTGAGCTGTGGTGCTGGAGAAGAGTACTGAATGTACCATGGACTGCCAAGAAAACAAACAGATTCATCCTAGAGAGGGTTAAACCAGTCTGCTCCTTGGAGGCAAGGATTCTGGGGCTTCGCCTGACATACTTTGGACATGTAAGGAGAGACAGGTCTTTGGAGAGGGACATCATGCTGGGTAGAGTAGAGGGACAGCGCAGGAGGGGAAGACCCTCTATGAGGTGGATTGATTCAGTGACTGGGGTACTCGGGATGGGTGTGTCAGGGGCAATGAGATTGGCACAGGATAGAGCACGGTTTAGGGCTGTTGTACATAGGGTCGCTATGAGTTGCAAATGACTCGACGGCACATAACAACAACAACATCAGTATATTATTTACTTAATTCATTCTGAATTTCAGTGGCAAAAAAGTATCAATAAAATGTTGCCTTTATTATTAGACATAGGGAGCTCTGGAAGCCAAGTGATAAGAAACTCCACTGCAATCCCGAAGGCACATGGTTTGAATCCACCAGCTGCTTCATGGAAGAAGGATGGCCATCTCTTATAGTGCAATTAATAGCCTCTGAAAACCCACTGAATGGTCAGCTTTAGGTTGGTTCTGACTCGGTGGTACTCAACACAACAACATTATTAGACCTTCACCTTTCTGCTTATCCTCAGTTTGAATTAAAATGATCTAAATGTTTCATAATCTAGTCCTAATCTATTTCTGTCATCCTTAGTTATCAACTAAAGTGAATCTTCATTACACATTCTCTGTACTTCATTACCCATACAACTTTGTCAAATTTGCTCCTATTGCCTCTACCAATAATCTTTCACACTAATAAGAATCTTATTAATAATGCAATAATAGACTTAATTTTTAATTTTCCAAGACATCTCTACCTATTTTGAAATTGTATTTGCTCTAGTGCTTACATCACACAACTTGGTGGATTTGATATCTTTTCTAATATCTTGCTTCTCTGATCTGAGAAAATATTAAGTTATTTGAGAGTATAAAGATATAGTTTTCTTTATCCTTGAGTAAATTCTTTATCTAATTCAAAACAAGAAAAATGGACAAAGTCATGCAGGCTTAGTTTAGGATTAGGAATAGTTCAATTGTCTTCAGTTGCTCTCCTATTCTGGTAAGAACCAAAGGGAAGCTGCAAGATACACTATCTGATCCTCTTATCTCTAGCAAAGTCAGGCACTCATGCAGATCTAGCCTAATCTTAGTTACCTTTTTAAGATAAAAAAAAATAGCACTAGGGGAAGCATCTAGAAAATGACACATGGATGGAGGGGTGGGGAGGTGTTTAAGGTTCCCAGTACCCTTTGATAGCAGTGTTGAGTTCTCTCTCATGACAGAGATCCATAAAGCCTAGCAATAATGAACTTTCTTAAAACAGTGGCAGGTTCCAAAGTGTTTTGAGAGTGGTACTAGCAGAAACAGTAATGTCTGCATCAAGCCACAAGATGCTTGTTAAAAGGCTTCTTGTGAGTTTATTCCTGTGAAGATTTTACACTGGCCTCTAGCCACCACAACTACTGAGAAGTGACAGCTTCCAAAGATCAGGAGACTTGAATTGTGGCTTTTCTAGTCTGATCACTAATCTTCAAAGGAACCGTTGGCGATTCTTTGATCACTTAACCCAGCTAAAAGGTTGCTGAAAGGATGTTATTAGTTGTCATCAAGATGATTCTGACTCATGGTAAACCCATGAATGAGAATTGGAACTGCTCCACTAGGCTTTCAAGACTATGACCTTTCAAATGTAGATTACCAGGTCTGTCTTCCAAGGTGCTTCTGAGTAGGTTTGTAAAGTCAATTATTGGTAGCACCCAGGGATTCCAAGCCTTTACCTAGTTCCTAGAGCCTTAGAAAGGCAGATTCAGGGTAATACCCAACAAAAGCCAGTTTTCTTCTGGCCTCTGAACAAGTCTGTAAAATTGTGAGCACCTATGCTCCTCAAAGATTGTGAGAATGGCACAGGATAGGACAGGGTTCAGATCTGTTGCTCACAGGGTCACTACAAGTGTACACAAATTGATGGCACCTACCAACAACATGTTCCACAGTGCTCTTGACAGTAATTTAGTCCAAGGGCCCCAGATATACTTTTAAGTCAAGTTCTGGCCAGAAATGCCAGTCTCTCATACTCTCCTTTAATCCACAAGGTAAATTTTATCTCATAAGAATGAACTAACCATAGCATTTCTAGGATCTCAAAGTGTATCTGGCTAAAAGAAGCACTAGCCTCTGAATAGAAACAATCCATCTACAGTGCTAAAATGAGAATGACTAGAACTATACAACATGAGGTGAATGGCACACACTTACTGGAACTGCTTTCGCTGTCACTGGTGTTGCATGTCACTCCCTCTGCAAGCCAACAACAAAGAAACTCCAATTCAGAACCACTGAAAAATCACACATAGGACAAAACTCAAATGCTACGGTGGGAAACATCAAACTGCCAACCAAATCAAGCAATAGGAGGCATTCATATCCAGGGTACCAACTCGGAGGCACAGCTCTAATCCTGAACCTCTTACTTGTCACCTTTTACTTGTCCCCAGAACCCTGTATCTTGCAAATTCCTACTTAAAGACATCAAATCTCACCATCTTCAGCTCATCTTCTTCATTTGAGAACTTGGATAATTTTCAAATTCTATTCCTAAATTTATATCTCAAGCTAACAATAGGAAATAAAAGGCAGTGATAACATAAAGTCTGGATACAAAACTGCCCTGAAACTTCCTGCCCAGACAGAGCTCTTTAAGTAAAGAATATGTATAAAGTGTCAGAACTAAGAGACTAAGTAGCGATGAACCACCAGAAAAGAAAGCTTGGCTAGAAAGCAAAGCTTTGGCTATTTGGTAGGAGCCAACATCCATCTTGCTTCCACTACCAAGAAGGTAGGCTTGGATTGGTTAAGGGTGGGAGTGATAGTGAGTTGAAGGGATGCTCTTCCATCCATCATAAAATATACGTATAAAAAAACCCCAACAACAACAACAACAAAAACCCCCACAAAGACAACAAACAAACAAGAACACTTGGAGGATAAAACAGTCTCCTTCTTTTAGAGTAAGTGTGTGGGTAGAGAAAGTGCAAGCAGAGGAGCTGGCACTCTCAAGAGATAGTGTGGCACAAAGGCCACATCTTACAAAAAGACAGGCTTATGAAGATGAGACATGGACATATGCACTATGGATAGAGACAGTGCTTGTTTCAGCCAAGACAATACTGTCCTAGATCACGATATGCTATGGTCCCCCAGGTAGAAATCATTGAGTTGCCATACATAACTAGTTCCTGAGCAATCTTCAGGTTGATGTCATGAGGAAATCCTTACTTTCACACCTTTGTTATATAATGAAGGAGAGTATATGCTGAAAGAACCTATCTAACCTGGATGCTTGCATGTACATCTCTGCACAGCAAGGACATTAGAGCCCCATAATCAATATTCCATCATTTTCTACTCTAGGATTATTTTTCATAATAAAGGCCAGTCAGAGTTCATCCAAGATAAGGCACTAGAGGGACATGTTCATAAATGTTACTGATGTAGGTTGTTCCCAGTAATTGAGATGGTAACAGCCATAATTCCTAAACCCACTCATTAAGTGTTATCACTGGAAGAAGAATAACAGCTAGCCGGTAGCCCTTACATCAAAGCAGTCTAGAAATTAATTGAATGGTCACTCTTGGAGTAACACTTCTCAAGTGGGACACCAAGATATGTCCTTACCATTTAAATGTCCAAAAAGGAAACAAAGACATGAATGATTAGGTTTTATTAGGGTGCCAGGGATTCAGCAAAAGTATGACATTTTAAAACCATAGATACTTCTTCCTGCTGTAGCATCAAAGTTTTAATCTACACTACCCTCCCCTCACCCCTCACCATCAACCATATCTCCCTACCTCCACCCCTAATATTTCAGTTCATGCCAGAAACATATTTAATGGTGTTTAACTTTGACTTACTCGGATTTTTTGCTCCATAATAATCGTCACTTAACCCAGGGAAGTCCTGATTTCACAGACAGCGAGGATAGAAAAGAAGAGAGGGAGGGGAGAAAAGAAGAAATAGAAAAAAAGACAAGGGAAGGGAGAATACAGAGCCAGGTAAGCATTAGTGACAGAATTATGAAATACTATGAAGACCTATGACTATAGTAATTTTAAGAACTTTACTAAGAAATAAAATCGTAGATGAGGCAAGATAACGGACTTCATGCTGCTCAATTTGTTACTGGAGGTACTTGGAGTAGACTACCTTTCTGAAGTGCTCTATAGCCTACAGGACAGTCCAGTGACATTCAACGGTTTAGAAAACCTGCTAAATTTGGAATTGTAGAAGCCAAGTTTTTCCCTTGTCCTTGAAATCATTTGTTCCCTCACAGGAACAAAACATCTATGTATGATAGGTAGGCAGACTATTATCAACAGCCCAAGAAGCTCTCACTCAACACTAATTTATTCTGTCCCTTAAGGAAACCTTCATGCAATCTAAGGTGTAGCCTTCACAACTGACCAGAGTTGTACAGCACTCAGGAGATTGGTTCAGCTTCTGGAGAATAAATATAGCAGTTTCAATTCTGTCATCCAACAGGCACACTTCCCATAGCATACCCGGGTTATTGATCAGCAAATACCTCATAAGGTTGGGCTCTGTATGGAGTATTTTTTACTCGGCTGATGTACTAGAGTGAAATCACTTAGGATTCTGTCTCAAATTGTGTTCTATTGCTCAAAAGCAGAACTAACTTCATCTGCTGCTCTTTACTGAGCTACCCAGGATTTAAGAATCATCACTTTTGTCTCTAACCAGGTATCATCCTAAACATCAATGGGCTACATATACCAAGACTATCTATCAAATTAGCCTACAGAAAGTATATTTCTTATCAGAATTTGTTAGTCTTCTGCAAGTTTAACAGCTCAGGACTCCAAAACACTCCGAACTCCCCCATGTAAGGTCAAAGAGTCACTGGTAAATGAGAGATGCTTACAGTTCATAATGCAGCTAATGAAAAATATTTTACCAGCTCAACCAAATGTTTAAGGTTAAGGTCAGAGCAGTTAATTTCTGAGTAAGATTTAGCTGCACTAAATTAGTTCTTAAAATTTAGCTCACCTTAACTGTTTAAAAGGGATATGTGATCCCTAAGTCTCTGTAAACTTTCATTAAAATTAATTAAAAAAATCTGCTCACCTTTATGCCCTTTTCTAATAAACCAGCTGTATGTTATCAATAAATCTTTATTTAGAAACTTGAGCAACATATTTTTCGTGTTAATTCATTTACGTAGGAAGGATTTTATTTTGAAAAATGGCTTTGCAATTAATTCTAGTATGACAGTAAGTCTGTTGAGAATTGTGTGGCCATCATGCAAGTAATTCAAGAAGTATTTCTAAATTCAGGTGTCCAAGGAAGAAAAAGCTCTTCTCTTGACACAGATGAGTGAAATTAAGAAAAACACAAGACAAAGAAGCCAAGAAAACAACACTGAGGCTTACACCTTATTCTCTTTCTAAACCATTTTTCTAAAGTGAACAATCAGAAAATAGTTCATTATCCCAATAGAAGAACTCAGTCTGGCACTTCCAACTCTCCCAGGTTCCTGGTAGCCTGGCCCGTGAACAAGTTCCACGTCAGAGCCTCCAGAAATAATTTTGAGTGAGGAGTTGGGCAAATGAGACTCAACATTTCCCTGGACAAACCAATTTCTACCCTGACTCTCTGTAAATAACAGATCACTTATGCATATGCATGCATACATTGACACACACAGATTCACTCACTCTTCTCATAAGAGATGATGCAAATGAGAAAGAAGACAGGGAGGTGAATTGTGTGCTCTTTGTACTCTGCTGCTACTTACGTTCCTGTATGCTGCTTTCCTGGGCCATATTTTCTCTGCTCTTGTAAAATGGAAACTTTCGAGAGAGGTGCAAACTCTTTTTACGTTTCGTTTTGATCGACTGTGAAAGAACATGAAGATGGAGGGGAAGGACAGAAGGGGAAAAAACAGAACAATGGATTTTAAAGCATGCAAGAAAAACTAAAATGAAGACAATGGTGAGCTAAATAAAAGTCATCTCTCACAAATGGAGTCTATGAGATTAAACGAACATTGATGCAAGAGAAAAACATTATGTTCACAAAAAAATGTTGTATGGATGTAAGAAGTTTCTACCTAATTCAGACTCACAGCACTCATTGATACTTCTTAAAGAACAAGTGTCACTATAGCCTTCTGAATAAATGCCCTAAGGTGCCACTGACAAACAGAGTCATTTATTCCTATATCAGTCTGGAAAGTCTTTGGTCTGTGAACCTTAGAAGAGAAAAAGAGTGAACGGAGAGATACCTCATGTCTCACTTTATCTGAAATGAGGTGGGAGCTCTGGGGATTGTTTTCCACTGAATGATGAAGCCAAGTTATATAGTTAAGTTATACACTCAAAAAGGTGTCTAAAGCCAGACATCCACAAGTTGTTTCACTTAACCCAAGTAAATCAGACTTCCAGATAATCCACCTTCCAAACATCATCAAAAGCCAGCCAGCTATTCATAGAGAAAGGCTACAGACAAACCATGTATTTGAAAGTGTTCCCTTTCATCTTTTTTAAAACAGTTAATATTCTTCTAGGACAGAGACGGCTATTTGAAAAGAAGATTCTCTTTTTGTGTTTCCGAGTTCTCTTAAAATTCAGCCAGAACTGCAAGCTGAATCCCTCTACATATACTAGCTGACCTTGGGAATCCTCACTTACCCTGTTAGACTCAATCATCCCTGTTCTGGCATGGAACTTCACCGTTTTCAATCGAGCTCGCTCTTTCTTTTCCACCCTGTTTTCAAATCAGAAAAAAAGTCCTGTTACTGGTCTCAGCAGTGGGTTGTGGCAAGCACAAAAGCACTCTTTGATTCATTTATTCTAACCTATGTCCTGAACACAAACTTTCTACCAAAAATATATAAGGCACATATGCTGTTCTCAAGAAGGAAGTGGCAAGAATAGTCTCTTTTATGTTAATCATAACTCACCTCTTCTTACTAGGGATTACACCAATTTGCTCACTTTCTCCATGTGGGGTCACCAATCTTGCCTGCCACCATTCATCATCAGAGGCATTAATGACATGTAGAATGTCACCATAAGAGAAGCTGAGTCCCTGACTTGGCAGGCAGCTGTCCCGAGTCCGGTCATAATCAAACAGGGCTCTGAAACACAAAACGAATAATAAAAATTATCATCCCATCCCCAAATGCCAAGGAAACCAATAGTCTGAACACTGATAGTAGAGGAAGGTCAGTCCAAGCAGCACAGACATAACTACCTAACAACAAATTAGAAGGAATTTTCCTTCGTTGTAAATATCCCAATCTCCTAACAAAAAGGAATAAGGGAAGTCTTAGTAGTCCTTTCTCCTCTCTTTATTTCTTATTTTATTTTTTATATTAAAGTTTACAGAGACTTCAGATTTCCATTCATTCATTGTTGCACACTTTCCTCCCTGCCCACCCCTCCCCCTCAGTTCGCTTTTCTCTTTGAAAAGTAAAAAAAAAAAATTTCATTGTTATACAATTCCCCCATGCCCATGCCCACTCTGGTCCCCAAGTCCATTCCACTATGCAGCTTTCATTCTGGATTCTTGTCATGACAATAATACCTAATCATATATTCCTCTTAAACAGTTCTCTCCCTCATCTTTTTCAATGCAGTATACATAATTTATCCCCTCTTAGTTTCCTCCCAACTCTGATGTTAGACCAGCTTTACAACAGTGGCACTGTGCAGTATTTGTCCTTTTGTGACTGAGATATTTCACTCAGCATAGTGTCCTCCAGGGTCTCCCATTTTGTATAATATTTCATGAGTTCCTTGTATTTCAATGCAGCATAGTATTCCATATCTCCTCTTTTCTAGACACAAGCTGGAGGTCTAAAGTAGAACACACTCAATAAACTTCCTCCTCATTCACTTCCAGGAGATTAGGATGGGTGAGGAGGAATCTATTGCCATCTAGGCTTGTGGAAAGAAGAGATTAGTTGGAGCTAGACAAAAGGCACAGTAAATGAAGCTGGAAGTAAAGTTTGGAGCATATTTTGAAGGCCTTGATAGATCAGATTCAGCAGCTGCTGAAGATTCAAGAATAGAGAAGCACAAAATAAAAAAAATATAGGAACATTCATCTGACCACATATGTAATGTAAACAAAGGGGAGGAGCTGTGAATCTGGAGGCATATTTAAACCAAAGTTATCTAAGCTTATTACTTCCAGTTACATTGCCAACTCAAACTCTTGTGAAGTCACTACTTGACACTAGAACTCCCTACTCAAAAACCAAACTCACCTGGATGCAAGATTCTATTATTTTTTTTTTTTTTGCATCCAGTGGAATCTCTCCTCATGTGCTACATGATGGTGATTTCAGTAAGGAGTTGATCTTTCCTACCTGAAACATAGGCCTTGGCTACCTTATTAACCTTCCCTGTTAACAGAAATATTTTCACACATATCCAGTGGTTCTTCCAAAAGACTTCCTCCTGCAATACAGCAGCTGTAAAGTGAGACACTATTTTCCAATGTGCATGCTCAAAAGAAATACAGCATGTAGTAAAACTGTGGAAAGGAAAATACCGATCTAGGTTTTCATGTTCTTGAAATAGAATCTTTAGGAAATCACTATCAGATTATTTGAAAATGAAAAATAACTCAGACAGAAGCCCTTTTCTTCCCTCAATTTATATACTCAAAGCAGTCAGGATAAGTAAAAGTCAGTAGAAAAGGAGGCTTCCAGAAGCTTGTAGAAAAGGGAGCTTCCAGAAGCTTGTAGAAAAGGGAGCTTCCACTCAGCTAGTCTCACTTCTCTCAGTGACAAAATAAAATATAAACACATTTCTACTTCAGGAATTCTGAATTTTCTAATGCAAATAAAGTATTAGTATTCGATCAGCTATAGATATACAGGATAAAGATTTTATTTTAAAGTGACAATGAGAAATACTAAATGTCATTTTATGAGTTTCAAAGGTTAAAATAAATATAATAGAATAGATTTCAGAGTAAGAACAAATTAATTTGGAGAGGAAAGGAAGGTATTTAAATGAATTAGAAGATATAAGGATGAGTTTATAGATGAGAAAGGAGCATTTAATTGTTACAAGTTTGAAACACTAGTGTGACAATCCAATACATGCTTTAGGATGGCACAGAAAAAACAAACACAAAAGAACCACAAACAAGCTAAGTAAAAACAAAATAAACACAGATCAACAAGAATGATAGCAGTTACCACTGAACACTGGGAATAGTACTGTTAGGCTTGGTTGTTTTTTGTTGTTTTTTTTAAACAATGAGTGAGTATGTTATTTTTATAATTTTTTGAAAGTAAATTAAAAAGAAAATGAGGAAATATGTACACAAAGCACCTGACCTGAGCCATTTTCCTCCAGAGGAGGAACATGTTTGGCTCTAAATCTTCTGGCAAACAAGGCAAAAAAGGAAGTTATGGCATTCCAATTGTTTCTAGAGCTCAATACTTGAGCTCTGGGGTCAAGTATTGGCTTGCCAGAGCTGAAGCCAGCAGTATCTCCTAAATGAGTAAGCTTAGATAACTCTGGTTTAAATATACCTCCAAATTCACAACCGTCCCCTTTGTTATGTTGCATACAGTGGAAATTAAGGTTTAGAATATAAAATTCAAATACTAGGCTTCTATGTCTATAGCAGAATCACAGTATAAAAAAAGTGTTGTCCTTTCTGTTCAGTATTCTACAGTCATAAATCCGTCATGTATTGTCTATCTGGATTCTGTTAGATGAATTTCAACTTGTGAGTTCTGGTAGCTTAGTGGCAAGAAGCTGCACTGCAAACCTGAAGGCATGTGTTTCAAAGCTATTCGCTGCTCCACTGGAGAAGGATGGGCAATCTCCTCCCATGCAATTAACTACCTCTGAAAACCTGCTGGAGGGTCAGCTATGGGTCGGTTCTGACTCTATGGTACACAACAACAATGTTTTATAAAAAATATGAAGGAAACACATATAGCAAAACTACCTATATTGTAGCTGTATTTCCACTGAGTCAATTCCCTAGCCATCAAGTCATAGGCGATTCATAATGACCCTACGAACGAAAGACCTGAACACTTGTATAACTTTCATCATTTCTCCAAGTTAATAGGGTTTTTGGAGGCAAGCTATTTTGAAAGTGTATGCCACTCCTACTTCCAAGCTTGTTTTAATTGGGGAGCTCCAACAAACACTGTCCGCCATGGGTAACCATTATCACCTAAAATGGCCCAATAAGAATTTTTAGGCTGCAATCTTTACGGGGAAAAATCCATCAGGTCTTTTATCCTGCAAAGCCACCGATGGGTTTGAACTACTGACCTTTCACTTAGCAGTCAGGCATTTAACTGCTGTGCCATGGTGAAGCTTAGCTATAGACAGCTAGTCATGTCCAGTTAAGGTCTAGTTTAGTATTTATTTAGTAGGTCTTGTGTAACCAACTTAATTGCCTTCCCCCTCCCAAAATCTTTGCAGTGCTGAACATTCATGTGGAATATTAAAATCAATCTTTCAAATGACATATACTTCATGTTATAAAAAACCAGTATGTAAATAACTTGGAATTTGTTCTACCTACCCTATTGATATTGACTATATTTATGGAAGAAATTGCTGGAGAAGCTCAATATTTGCAGTCAAAACTAGGCCAGGGGCAGCCTGTGGGTCAGACCATCAATTATTCATATGCAAGTTCAAATTGAGGCTAAAGAAAATGAAAGTAAGTCCACAGGAATCAAGATATGATTTGAATATTTCCATGTGAATTTCAAGATAATCTTAGTTTGATTTTTGAAGCATTGAACACATCAAAGACTCGATAAGTTGTGGGATGATATCAAGGACATTATTAATGAAGAAAGCAAAAGCTCATTACAAAACCAGAAAAGAAAGAAAAAATCGAAATGGAGGTCATGCCAAAGTAAAAGAGGTGAACAGAAGATTTCAAAGGGCAGTTTGAGAAGATAAAATAAAGTATTATAATGGAATGTTCAGAGAGCTGGAATTGGAGAATAAAAAGGGAAGAACTCACTCTGGATTTCTCAAGCTGAAAGAACTGAAAAACAAATTTAAGCCTTGAGTCACAATATTGAAAGATGCTATGAGCAATATATTGAATGACTCAGAAAGCATCAAAAGAAGATGGAAGGAATGTATAGAATCACTGTACCAGAAAGAACTTATTGACACTGAGTCCCAGAACACTTAATTGTGCTCATCAGGAACCTATACCTGGGTCAGGAGGCTGCTGGGCAAACAGAGCTGGGGAACACTGCATGGTGTAAAATGGAGAAGGGAGTGTATCAGGGTTGTATTCTCTCTACACCTATTTAATCTGTATGCTGAGCAAACTATTCAAGAAGCTGGACTCTGTGAAGAGCAATGTGGCATCAGAATTGGAGGGAGACTCATTAATAACCTGCATTATGCAGATGACACAAGCTTGCTTGTTGAAAGTGAGAAAGACTTGAAGCACTTGTTGCAAAAGCTCAAAGAATGGATCCTTCAATATGGATTGCATCTCAATGTCAAGAAAACAAAGATTCTTACCACTGGACCAATAGGAAACACCAAGATGGATGGAAGGGAGATTAAAACTGTCAACAACTTTATCTTGCTTGGATCCACAATTAACATACTTGGTACCAGCAGTCAGGAAATAAGGAGATGCATTGCACTGAGAAAATGTGCAGTCAGGGACCTCTCCAAATAATTGAGTAGTAATGATGTCAGTTTGAGAACTAAGATGCATCTTATGAAGGCATTAGTCTTTCTGATCACTTGCTATGCATCTGAGAGCTGGACAATGAGTAAAGATGACAGAGGATGAATTGAAGCCTCTGGAGTGTGGTGTTGGATAAGAGCACTGAATATCCCATGGATGGCCAAGAGAACAGATATGTCTTGGAGAAGGTGCAGCTAGAGTGCTCTTTGGAGGCAAGAATCATGAATCTTTGCCTCACCTACATTGGTCATGTTGCTAGGAGGGCTGGCTATTCCTTCAAGAGGAACATGGTGCTAAAAAGGGTGAAGGGTCAGGGAAGGAGAGGAAGACAGGTGGATTGACACAATGACTGCTGCAATGGGTTCCTGTGTGTCAGGAAGTGTGAGGATGTCAAAGGATAGAATAGGGTTCATATGTTTTGTT